ACCTTTGTATATATATTAGTTCATCACATATTCAAGCAACTTTGGGGAGTTCAGACAATGAAACAAAAATGCAGAAAGATTTAAATGAGTCAGGAAGTCTAAGTCTTTGAACTAGAATTTTTCCATTGTAGATGCTACAGAACACATCCTACTGAAGTTCTCCTACTGTGCCAGACTCATCCCGCTTCCTCCTGTCTCTGATTTCCTGTACCACAGATTCCCGAAGTGCGATCCTGGGGGTCCCAAATCCTCTTAGAAAGATCAAAACTATTTTCAAAACCATGGTAAGAAATTATTTGCTTTTTTCCTCTCTCATCCTTTAATGAATATAGTGAGTTTTCCAGATGCTGCATAATGTATTGCAACAGAATTAACACAGAAACAAATATGGGAGTCCAACTTCTTGCAAGCTGGGCATTAAAGAGATTTTTAAAAATTTCAGGCACTATGACTCTTCATGCTTTTTTACTGTTTTGATACGTAGATTGTTCCACCTTAAAATAAAATGCTACTATTAACATGTAATTTTAAATTACCTTTAAATGAATTAATTCTCTTAAAGTTTTAATTTAGCTTTTAATATGAGAAATCATTATATATATCTACATAAAACAGCTGTACGGGATCTTCATTGATTTTAATAATACTATCTATATCTCTTGAGTCTATGACATTCTACTTTGTACTTGCTTACATAATAGTTGGAATTTATTTTAGTTTCTTTTTATACAACTTAATGCATTCCAGATTATTAGTTCTTTAGTTTTTTGGGGGTATCCTTTTTATTTTTTGACTTCCCTTATGAATATTCCTACTTGTGGGTAGTTAGGGATTTTCAACTAATACTTATGACTTTCATAGGTTGGGTTAATTTTTATAAGTCCCTTTCCTATTTTTTTTTAAAGAAAATATTTTTTGTTGCAGTGACAATGTTTTTGGAGATACCTTCTTAGATTTTCAGTTATTTAGCAAATATTTGGGTAAATGTTGCATACAAGACTCTTTGGAAAACACCACCAAGATAGCAGAGACCACAGTTCCTGCCTTCCAGGCATTTGTAACTTGGTAGGAAAGATAGGATGAGGCAGCTCATAAAATCTGGGATGTTCTTGATTCTAAAATCACACTTCTCCCTGCTCCAAATATTCTAACATCTCTCTAATCAAAATGAGTCTTAAAACTTGTGGCATTTTTCAATAATTTAAGTGGTAAAATGTTTATTTTCTTTCAGAGAATTATATAAAACAGGGTAGATCTTACAGTTGATTTTTTAGACTTGAGGAATATATAAACAGCCAAACACAAAAGTTTAATATGAGAAATATCAAAACAAAATGAATAACTAAAAAAAGTGATAAAGAAGATCTATACATCCAGATAATTGTACAAGTATTTTCTCTACACTATTTTTTCACAAATTTATTTTTTTATTTCATGTAATTTTATTTTACCTCTCTATATTGTTCCTAAAATATGAGACCTTCAAACCAACATTTCACACTGAGCTTTGACCAAAACTTCTCATAACTGAACACTGAGAAAGGATTGCTTGTCATAAGCCCTCCATGTTGGTCTGGAAATGGTCCCATCATAGCTTCACTTGGTATATGGATCTTCATGTTTTCCTATGTTAACAGAAAAGTGACTGAGAACTGGATCACTTTATAGTTTGCCTACCATATCCACTCTGTATACCTCCTACCAAGATCCCATATAATTTACCGTATGTATTTATGCCCAGAAAGTGAATTCAGAGACCAGAAACTTACTGTTACAATAACTTTCCATTCAAGAATTAGTTATGTTACCAGGATCAAATGTTCAGGTCAACTCTGGTCAAGTAAGTCCCAATAACCAGGAGATAAGTATTGGTTGGGAGGAATCAGGCTTACTCAAGGCCAAGCCTGAGGAAGATGGAGTGGTATCTCCTTCAAGGTCTGTCTTTCTGGACCAGGGGACAGAAGAGTTTTTACATGGAAGGAAGGAAGCAGTGAAGCTGCAGACTGCCCGGGGGTCCTCAAGTGTCCCCTGTGCTTATGACAATAGATGTGGACCTTCTGTGTCTAGTTACTAAGAAGGGCATTAGGAAGGCCATTTAAAACAAAAGGAAAAAAGATTGAGGCAGGAGGATTGCCTTAGGATTGCAAATTCAAGGCTAGCTTGGGCAGCTGAGGAAAACCCTGTCTCAAAATAAAATGTAAATAGTGGGCTGGGGATGTAGTTCAGTGGTAGAGTACTTGGCTAACATGTATGAGGCCCTGGGTTCAATCCACTGTTCCTAACACGTGTCAGGCCCTGGGTTCAATCCCTAGTACTCCAGAAAAATAAAATAAAAACGGTTTCAGGTGAGGCCCATCCTCAGAATTTAGATTACTCAGGTGAGACCTTCCTTTGGGATTTGGAATGCCAGGTAAATGAGAGGATGTGAAAGAACTAGGAAGGAAAGGTGAAAATAATCTTGCTAGACAATTTTCAAATGTGGCAGGCAGTTGTCAGAGTTGGAGCGAATTAGTTGCAAGGCCAATTAATCATAATTATAAGTGAAGTAATACTTTTCCTTGGTTGTTTTTGGGAGAAAGGGAAAAAAATATAGGAATTCATCTCATATTGGTGAGAGCTCATATCTGTGAACAAAACAAGGCCATAGTAAGTATAAGCCCAGCCTAATCTCTTTTACCTTCCAAACGCAGATCCATTGCTATAAACATGAAGCCTTGTAAAAAATTTGATAATCATTCTCATTTGCTATATTATCAGAATATGTAATACATTTGGAAAAATTAGTAACACTTGACACAAAAACAAAATAAACAACATTCTGCTTATTGGAAAATTAAATTTGTTGGAACAAAATATTCTATCCTTTGGCTATAATTCTGGTTTCTAAGATGTGTCACTTTTTTTCAATGCATTTCTTTGTGAATGTTGTGAGGCAATAATTGTAAAAACTTTTTTTATTTGAAGGTTAACAAAACAGGAAAACAATTGTGGCAAGTTTTCATTATTACTATTTCTGGCCCTTTCAAAAGTGGGAAAGAAATATAAAGGTTTACAAACAAAACAAAATACCCATAATATTTTGAGTTCAATATCTGCCTGAATTTTTCATTCTGTGTTATTCAGATTACTTACCTTGATGCTACTCCATGGCTTCAGCTTTGGTTCTGTATGAATGCTGCGTTTATAATCATGTCTTGGAAGGAGTGGTTAGCTTGGAAGGATCAGAAGTGAGATACAGAATCTGGCCCCTTAGGTCATTTATTTGTATCCAGCTGAAGTCAGCAGTGGCTAAAATTCATTACCATCTGGCAGTTTTTCCATGGCCTCTGTGACAGAACTTGTGGTCCTAGTCTAGTACACACTAGACAGATGTCCAGGTCATAAAAATCACAACGATACTTGGCATTGTGTCACCCCCTTGTTGACAGTACCATCAGACAGGCCAGAGATCGAAGTGGAATAAAGAATGAGCTGTCTTCATCACATCCAGTGGTCCATTGGCAAAGAGATACTCAGTCCTTATGTACATAGTGGGGGGAAAACTCCCCTTGGATGGACGCAAAGGACGTGGAAATAATGCTAATAAATGGAGCTACTCACAGCACAATCTAAACGGGCATTATTGGATGAAATGGTTACAATTTCAAATCTTTCCTTTTTGATGGGAAATAAGATTTCATACACTCATACTGTCTTAAGGCTTTCAAATTATTCTATGAAGTGTGGAAGACCAGCTCCATCCGTGACTGTGAGCACAGCTTGTAACTTTGAGTTAGGCATGAAAGGAATCCCTTCCCTTCCCTCCTTTTCTGGCCCCTCCTGTCCCCTGCTTCTCCCTTTTGCCTTCCCTCCCTCCTATTCTTCCATCCTTTTTTCAACCCAGGGCTTTCAAACTGAGCTACATATCAGCACTTTTATTTTTACTTTTTTTTTTTGAGGCAGGGTCTTGCTAAGTCACTAAGATACCCAGGCTAAGATCAAACTTACAATACTCCTGCCTCAGCCTCCCAGAATGCTGAGATCACAGGGAGGTGACATCATGCCCCATGCAAAGAACTTCTCTCAATGATCTGTTTGTACTTTTCTGATCTTACCTCCTACCTCTCCCAGGAACCCAAACATTTTCTCATGACAGACATAGGTTCTTCCATAGACTTCAAAAAAAAGTTTTATATCCTCAACCTGTCTCTTAATAATTCCCTTGTCTTCTTGCTATAAGTGAAATCTTAGTTTTTCCTTCCAGCAGCCATTTTCAGATTATTACTCTTCTTGCCTTTGTGCTTTCATTTTTCCACAAATGAGTCATTTAAGAGTCCTTGCCCGTGACTGGCTGACTCACATTCACAGATCTTGCGCCCCAATAGCCTCAGCCACCCACTTGCAAGGTTTTACCTTTGTTCCCACCATCACCAGAAATTACAGAATTTCAGCTGCTCAGTTTAAATCACTATACTCTCAGACTGTTACCAACTATAATTCTATTTTACATTCCCTTAGCTTCTTAATTTTTTTTTATCAAAACAATACCTCTAATTCACAGACTCTACTGCTTTACCAATGTCCTTCCTAGCTAAATTCAGATTATGTGGTCCACCCTTATCCATTATTATTACATTCCTTGCATAAATTTCCACTTTCCTGTCTTTACCCTCTGTATTATATCCATGGTTAAAACTTTTGTGAAATTATAACTCCACTCCTGCTATATGTTCATACTCAAGGGGTGAATGTGAGAACCATAGTCTAATAACTATAACATCTGATCTCAAATTGAATCTAGGACCATAAACTGAAAAGGGGCCCAGGATGGTACCTGAAGATCTTGTCATTTTTTCTTAGTCATTTTCCTGTTCAGTTCACTCTTTCACTGTCCAAAAGACTATTTCACACCTACATATTCCAATAGTCCTTCTGTCCCCTCACTTCCATCTCAGAAGCGTATTCCAATGGTAAGAACAGGAAAATAAAAACAGAAGTGAAGCTCTGTATCCTCTCCTTACCTGATTTATCCACTGATCTGCTTCTCTCCTACAGTATCAGCATCTCCATCTTCACTCACTTGTTCCATTAGTGTCCACGCCATACTATTGCCTGTCTTTAAGACACAAAAAAATAACCAGACTTGATCACATATCTCTCCAACTTCTGTAGGATTTCTCTCCCTCTGTTTATGACAAATTTTAGAAGATTGGGCAATTTTAAAAATCTGTTTTCTATAACCTCCCCTCTTCTCTCATGAACCTTGTTTGACTCCTTTCCTCAATGAACTCCGGTAAGGCCAACCTTTCCAGTGGTCAATTTTCAATCCTAATTTTAGTGAACTTGTCAGCATCATTTTATAGGCTTGGTCATCTCCTCATTCTCAAAACTCATTCCTCACTTGGCTATCAATCTGCTTTCTCATAGCTATTTTACTTGACTGGCTGCTTCCTTTAGATTTCTACACATTGGAATATTACTCATCCATGACAAATAATAAAGTACAGATACATGCTATGGCATTGTCGAACCCTGCAAATGTACTGAACAAAAGAACTCACATATCAGTTACTGCATGTTTGGATTATTTCCAATTTTTGGCAACATAAGTAAGGCTACTCTGAACGTCACATACAAGTTTTTGTGTGTATGCATGTTTCAATTTTTTGAGTATATACTTAGGAATTTAAATGCTAGAACATACGGTATCTCTATGTTTAACATTTTGATGAACTGCTGCTTTGTTTTCTAATGTTTACAGTCATGCCAGCAGTGCAGGAGAGTTTGAATTCTCCACATCCCCAACAACATCTGTTATCATCTCTTTTTTTGAGTATAGCCATCTCATTGAGTGTGAAGTAGAATCTCATTACAGTTTTGACTTGCATTTCTTTGTGGCTAATGATGTTGTACCGGCTGCTTATGTACTTTGAAGAAAGATCTATTCAGATTACCCGGCCCTTTAAAACATTGGGTTTAGTTATCATTTTATTATTGAGTTGTGCTAATCCTTCTTCTATTCTAGATATAAGGCTCTTATGATATATGATTAACAAATATTTTCTTACATTCTGTGCACTGTCACTTTAATTTTGTAACACTGTCTTTGGATATATAAAAGTTTGAAATTTTTAAGATGTTCAGTTTAAACATGTTTTTTTCCTGTTGGTTTTGCTTTTGGTGTCACAACGCATCATTCCTTATGAAGATTTACTGCAAAAGTATCTTCAAGGCAGACCACAGCATCACCCACAATGACCCTGCATCAGGGTAGCACCAGGGATCAAGGGCCACTCTAGCACCCCTAAAGGCAGTGGGTTGAGGTAGCAGTACAGAGATCCTGAGCTGCCCAGCAAAGGGGCAGCCTGTGAGCAGCCAGCAAGAAGGAAGGCTGCGGTAGTGCCTGAAAGACCTCATACTGGAAATTTTCATGGAGGCCAAAGGATCTTCAGGCAAAAAAAGATGATCTTAATGAAGCACAAGAAAGACAATGTGGAAGATGGAAAGCAAGACCTCCACACCGATTTACAAAGGATGAATTACAGATTCTGAAACAAGCCTTTGAACAGAATCCTTACCCTACTTTCAGGACCAAACAAGAACTTGCCAAGCAACTGCACTGCCATTTGTATGTCATTCAGAATTGGTTCCAAGACAGAAGATACAGACTACCACCTAGAGAGAAAAAGACACTCTGCCATCTGTAAACTAAATGGGTTTTGTGTCAAAAGGTCTCAGCCCCTGGGGTCCCCAAATAGCCAGGTACAATCTGACAACTCTTCCATGAATCAGACTTCCTTGCATGACCAGGAGACCCTACTATATAGAGCTGGCTACTCTTCACTGGAAACCCAGATGATTCCCAGTGGTCATGTTGGCTCAGGTGACTCTTTGGTCACAGGCATTAACAGGGAGCCAAGATGTCCCCTGGAGTATCAAGGTGCCCCAGCAAGTGGCTCTTCTTGCACCTACACACCATACTCATTTATTTATCCTAACACATCTATGCAGTGTTTTGAAAGTGCCAGGTATGAGGCAGGGCAAAGCCAGAATGCTCTACCTTTTTTCCCCCATTATGCTTTCACTGGGCAGGAAACAGATCATCAACAAGAGGAGTACAAGGCCCCTGATCAGTATTCGGTATTTGAAGGACAGCAGCCAAACCACTGGGGATACCATATGCAGCAGCTGTCACAGCCTCAGTATTACCAGGAGAATTACCAGCTGCCATTCCAGGGCCAATTTTTCCCATACCAGAATCCAAGTGATTTAGAGCAACAGGAGCACAGTCTTCCATCAGAGCAGCAAAGTAATGGAGGTGCCCTGAGCTCTCTGCTGCAGCAGGCACCTGTGCAAAGAGCAGATGAGTCTCCACAACCTCTTGGGAAAGGAAGCAGCAAGTTCATGAAGAGCATTCCAGGTTTCAGGTTTGAAATCCAGCACTTTCAGAATGGGGTTTTTCCAGATGTCCACTTCTGAGCCCCTAAGTGTGGCTCCAGGAAATGGAAGCACTGAGAAACAGTTGTACATCACCCTGTCTCCACACAGGGAAAGGAAGAGAAAGGTCTTTTCCTTTGGAGACACTCTCGTTGTTTTTTACATGAACCCTTCCAGGCTGACTAATACACAGAGCCTGTAAATATGTATGAAACAGTACTGAGTCTTGAGTCACTGAATTGCATATGTATGCCATTACCACAATGGTAAACAATGGTGCTTTTACTTCTAACAGTTGCATTTATTTTTATTTATTGCATGGGTTAGAACTGCCATAGGATATGGAATCAAAACAGTGAGAGGACACTGGAGAGTCTGCATTTCCTCACGTCAAGTTCCTCTTAGCTTGTGTATTACCCATATCTGCCAAAGGACCCCTTTGGTTCCTCTTTCAAGTTTTTAGTGCCCTCCATTTGTATAATGGGTTTTAAAATGCCTTCTAACTTGTATTGCAAGAACTGTGATTTTTGTTCCTTAAAGTTTTTGTAGTAATTTAAATAGATTTTTCTTACAATAAATAAATACTTTTTGGAAGTAGGTATTGCACTCTAGGGAATTCTACCTATGTCATATTAACAGGGCCTTTTCAAAATGAACCATTTGTGTCTGAATAATTTTCTCAGGCTGCCTGTGAACTTATCCTTTTCCCTCAGTTGCCCAAGTAGCTGGACCTATAGCCATGTACCTCCATGCCAGCCTAATGAACATTCTGTTCTGCCATAACTCAACTAATGTACTTTTGTATTGCTGGATTACTTTTCCTAATATTTTGTTTCAAA